ACTCTTATTTCAGATTTTCTCAGAGGCCAATGAAAGAAGCCTACTCTGAGAAAGGTCTTAAGTGCAGAGGCTAGATTACAATGGTGATGGGAATTTGAGTTTCTATGCCATTTAGACTCCCCTGTGCATCCTACTTTTAAGATGTATCCTAACAAATGATCCTATCCTCCTCTCCAAGTATTCAGTATGTGGCTAATTCAGGACCCATTCAGTTGCACTCAGTGTGGAAGTTGGTAAAACTCCTGAAAGATGCTGGGCAGGAATAAGAGAAAGGGTGGATCTTAAGTCTAATTTCCATCAGGCGCCGTGACCAACTCTCAGCCGCCTGGAGGATGTCAATCACTCCGATTACATGGATTTGTTCCACACCCACGCATGCGTGAAGGCAGAAACAACACAAAGACGTGCACACACACAGAGACACACACTCATGGAAACACTTAATCACGCTCTTGTGCTGTGCAAGGCGCACATTCAGGCAGCGGGGGATCTTTTTCACACCACATCTTGCCAAGTCTTGAAATGGCACATTTATTTGTGAACTTCTAAAAATGACACGGTGATGGACTCGAATTTTTGGGTTTTGACCAAAAGAGTGGTCGCACATTATCCTCAGAGCGAGGGCCAAGGAGATACCTATCAATGTAAATGTAAAAATATATTGCTGGCAGTCTGTGAAATCATATTATGCCAAAGCTTGTTTTGCTAACAGTGTATTGAAGGCATGTTTTCCACATTTGTTTTCTTTCTATTGTTAATGAGGATGTCCAAATATATATTTGTAGCAAGGATTATCATGACAAAACCACCATGAGAATAGCAAAACAACTACATGTAGGTTGTACATTAATATATCCTTTGTATGTAAAACAACAAATACTATTTCATAAACTTTAACATGTATTCTTTGGTTGCAATCCTACAAATATATATATTTTTAAAAGGTGGCTCATTGTGATATGTTTCTCTCTAACAGTAACATATCGTCAGTGTTGGATTAAATCTCCCTAATAACGGCCCGTCCACACTACAGCTTCGACAGCTTCAAAAACGGTTTCCAACGCGTCTGCCCAATCACTTTGAATGGGGTGACGTCACGTTGCCTCGCTTTTCGCCGAACTGAATTGTGGGTAGCAGAGCGGAGCTTTCCTGGCGTTTCAGGCTGCAAAAGTTGAACAATGTTCAACTTTTGAAGCCGGAGACGCCGGAGTAGCCAGCGTCAGCCAATCAAATCCCGTTTATGCAAATCTGACAGTTCAAGCGCTAGCCAATCAAACCGCGTGCAAGCTGGGAGAGACAGACCGCAGTTCATTTCCTCATATTCCAAACGAGAAATTACGGTAGCAAATCACCCGGTTCTTTACGACCAGAACTATTTACTGGGATACAAACCGAAGGAACCAGGCATGGAGGGAGGTGGCAGAGACAGTGGGTGAAACTGGTAGGTTTTCGCCTGTTTGGGGAGTTTATATATATATATATTGCTCGCATAAAATCCCCGGGGTTTTTTGCTTTGTATGCCGGGGGCGGGACATTCATGTGATTGGTTGTTGGTCGCGGTGCTCGAATAAAATCCCCAAGCTTCAGACACGCCCAGCTCCAAGCTTTTTTTGAAGCTGTAGTGTGGACGGGCCGTAAATCACTCCAAATGCTTATCAGCTTTGAAAAGCCAAATAATTAGTAGTGTCATACAGTATGTACGCAGATTAAATGGTTGAATTACTTTTGGACGCAGCGAGTGTAGCATTTGCACTGGAAACATCACAGTGACTGTAAAGGGTGTTTTATAAACAGTTTGACATTTAGTTGTGTTGTTGTTTCATGGAGTATTGTGCTGACTACAGAAAGCGTTATTTGAGTTTTCACCTGGCCCTTTTTGGTGGATATAGGCTTGTCAAGAGGATGATGCGTTCAGAAAATAACTACTGCTTAGAAGAAAAAAGCCAAGAAACTCGTAATGTTCCCATTATTCTAGAGTAGCTAGCAAATTAAAGAATTTTACGATTACATTTTACGAAAACATTTAACTATTACTGCAGCCTCCAACATAAGTGATCCTAGCAGGGTGAAGCAAGCCTCACTCTTATGTGAAGATAGTGCTGGAGCACATCTTTCTCTTTAGGTTTTTGTTCTCTTAAAAGCCTCTCCGAAGCCCGGGGTCATAATTTAACTTTCTCTGGCTTTCCTCTACCTCCGTGATCCTCTTAAGTGAAACGTACTTTTTACTTTCTAAATTAATTGGTAAGCCCTTTAATCAACCAGGTTTTTAAAAGTTTAAGTGTTTCTTCTTTTATGGTGCCCAAGGTGGTCATGGATGGACCCTTTTATTCCTAGAAAATGCACACACACACACACACACACACACACACACACACACACTCATTAGCACTGATTGCAGCCTGGTCTGGGGTCTGTCTGTGCCCATACCCATTTAGAAACAATAACATCTTGGTAATAATTAACCCTCAAGATCAGTTAAAGTCAACACACACACCCTTCTTGTGATATACCAAGGGTTACAATCTGCTCAGGCATAATAATGGATCATAATAACGACCCTGCTGGTGGGTTTGACAGCAGGAGAGAACAGATTTAAAAAGCTGCTTCTCCTCCTCTTTAACTTGATAGTGTGCAAATGATTCACCTCATTGTTTCAGTCCTGGTTAATAGTCTTCCCACCATCTGCTCAAACTTCAAGCGGCTTGACATCCTAGTTGTTTGCTGGCTCAGAGGCTAATGACAGAGCCATGCCAGATATTAATCAGGGCTAATATGTGTCCTCTTTTTGTCAACAGCATTGCAAACACATTTTAACCTTTCCTCCTCGTCAACTTAAACTGGAGCTGTAGACGCATGATGTATATAATGTATAGCTATTAAATTAAAGAGGACATCATATGCTCATTTTCAGGTTCATATTCTGTGTCTCTATTGTGAAATGCTTCCACGCCTAAATGTTCAACAAGGTCTTTATTGTTCTCATACTGCCTGTGCTGCACTGTCTGAAACCAGAGCCCCGTCTGCTCTGATTGGTTATTCGGCCGGCTCTGTTGTGATTGGTCAACCGCTTAGAGATGTCCCGCCCCTTAGCCAATCACGTACAATGTGTTGGGGGGGGGATATAATAGGGCCTTTGTAAATTACCTCTGCGTTATCAAAATTGAATGTGTTTGGAGTAATAAAAAGAAAGGATGTTTATAGAGCTGTACGAAGGTTTAGTGTACAGTAGGCGGATGACGTGGTGACCATGGAAACCATGAATAATACAGCTAGCATTCAGACTTGCTGCATATTTTATTTTATTTCTGTTAAACCTGACAAAACATCTTGAATTACTTGGTCTTTGTTATGTGAACAGTGGAAAGGAATAATTTGGCCTCGGTTACTTGCAGTTTGGCAAAACAACTTTAAATCAAGGTTTATTTGTAGTTACTCTGGAGCCTTCTATAATGTAACAGTAACTTTCTCTATTAAAAACCCCTTGTCTACAGTATGTTGGTTGGAAATCTCTTCTCCTTAATTCTTCATCGCTTTATTCCAAGAATAGGCTTTCAATCTTAACATTTGAGCCAACGCTTAAGTCTGTAGAGGGCTTAGAGAAATAGATATGTAAACATCTGCAGATCAATGACAAGAGTAAACTCCATTTGATGATGAAGATTGTTTAATGTGAAAGAAGTCTCCAAAACGGCTACTAATGCACCTCTTTGTGTTAAAAATAATACTTGTAAATCTTATTAGATTATCTTTTCAGAGCTACAAATCTAAAATGACTTACACGGTAGTTGATAAACAGTGTTTGAGCCTCACCTGTGTGTAAAAATGGCCATTCTTGCATTGTAATGTGTTCGTTTTGTGCTTAAAATACGAAAATAAATAAATATGTCTGTGCCACTCTAGTTTAACTAATCCTGTTAGGGGAGAAACATTTTTTTTAAATGATGGCAACAGTCTTGCAACCAGCTTTCAGACTGAATCCGTGACCATGATGGTGATAATGCAGGTGAGTCAAGCCCACTGCTGTTTGTAGAAAAAGTAAGAAAAGTGGCTGTGAGTGAGTTTTGGGGAGTGCTGCACTTGGATTAGAATAAAACAGCATGAGTCCTTCAACAATTTCCTGTGATTCCCAGGGAGCTCAGCGGAGACTTCCTCTGCAGGCAGCGGCTCCCGACAGCATGACATTCTTCGTTTGCAATTGATCTGTGGGGTAAACTAACAGCATGATGGGATTTACAAACAGATACAAAAGGGAAATGCTGAATCAATCTCACACAAAGAGACATGCAGATGTACAATATGTATTTTGCACAGTATACTGTAGTTGTTTTTAATGTCCGCTACACATATGATTAAGTGTGACTTTGCAGTTGAATACCGCTGCCCCTTAACCTTTGTATGTGTGTAATCACGAGCAGGAGGTTATTATTTTGTAGGTACCGAGTGTAGCCTTTGTCGAGCGCGGCTGTGCACAAATACCAAGCAGAGAGTGGCTGTTGAACTTTGAAAATGTCAGCCACTGCTCTTGAAGACAGTGGCGTCGGTTCATTCTTGTGCGTCCTCCCATCCTCCTTTGCTGCACGCCTTAAAACTTTCCTTGTGCGGCGAGTGACCTACTGAAATCTTTTGAAGCCGTGGCATTGGGTTGTGGGAAGATGGAGCACAGAAGATACATGCCCTTAATTCAAACAAATACAAAAAAGAAGCGTGCCTGTTTTTGCTCTGAGACATATGTCCACTGGTCACAGCTAGAGCATCTGAGAGAAAGGAGTTCTGGGAGGTGAATAAGGCTCAATATCATCTTCAAAAGGAAATGTTCAATGCAATAGAACAGTCTTGCAATGAACACTTGTCATGACAATATTAGAGAGGATTTGACTCAAACATAGGTATATTTAGGGGCTGTAAATTGCCTTTTATCCCCTGCAGTAGACTGTGGGGAGCTGTCCATGGTGCTGTCACATGCTAAGAAGGATTAATGAATACATGCCCCATACCAGTACCGTTTACTTTGCACTCCTGCACATAAATCCTGCTGTGAAAGCATCTCCTTCACCTCCATCCCTGCCATGCCTTTGCTCCCGGTGTTTTCTCCAATCACATGCCTCGCAGCCAGACACAGCGTCAGCGCTCCCCAGAGGAGAGCGGCCTCCACCATGCAGTTTGCAGTACGTGCTGCATGATGAGCCTCCCTCATGTGTGCGTTGTTTACATGTTGATGTGCGGTGCCCTGAGAGGCAGCCGCATGTGATTGCTGCACCGCAGGCCTTCTGAGAATGCCACTTCAGAGGAATGCAAAGTAAACATATGTACGCCAACAGTGCTCTGTCTTTACGCTAAGCAGCCTAATAGAGAGTTTATGGACGCTGAAGGTCGTGTCTCTATGCAACCTGTAATCAGCTCCCATCAGTGTTACATACCACATTACCACCAGCTCATTCATTTCCTTTATAGAGGCCCTGTTGTGCTTTTCGGGGTTTGGCCTTTCTTGTTATATAGGTTTTTGTGTGCATGTCAATGGTCTGCAAAAGCTCAAATCCTAAAGTTTCCTCCAGTGGGAGTTTCTCTCCCCCCTGCCGGAAACACCTCCAGTGGACTACTTTGTTTACTTCTGTAACATAGTGACATCACTACGTAACACTTGTGCTTCTATTGCCTAGCGATCCAACACATTGTACAGTACACGATAGGTTAAGGGGCCAAACATCATAAAACTGTTTGTTGACGAATCACAAAAAAGCCGTCCAGCTAACCAATCAGAGCAGACTGGGCTCTGGTTTCAGACAGACAAAGACGTGCTGCAGCACAGGCAGTATGAGAAAAATAAAGAGCTTTTTGAACATTAAAGCATGGAGTCATGTCACAGTAGAGGCACAACATACAGATATGAACCTGAAAGCACAATATGTCTAAAAAAATACCACAAAAAGTCAAGAGAAACTTTTCTGGATTTAGGGCATAAGGTGTCTCTTCTTCCATCTGGATACTTGCCCTCCCTGTTGAACCCAACAGATAATCCATCAATTTACAGAAGAAGGCCCTGTGTTTTTTCCCAGTAACAATCACTTCCACATATCATCTCTCAGCAAACTGCAGTTGTTGACTCCTGACCTTTCTTCACACTCAGCAGCAGCTCTAAATAAAATAACATTATTCTCAGCCTCCTCTCACTTCTTTTTGCTTTCTTTCCTCTGATGCACACAGAGTGCATGGAGGGGGGGTTGGGAAGCTCTTGAGTGCCCTCGTGTGTTCATTAATGCTTACTTTCAGATTAGTATACCTTACTGTGTTTGTGTACTAGTGACGTGAGCAAATCAAAACATTTCAAGTTGTTCTTGACTTGTTGAATACAAGACTTCCTGTTTTAATCACAGCTGTCACAGTCCCCATGGTTTTTGCAAGGGTGTGTGTGTGTGTGTGTGTGTGTGTGTGTGTGTGTGTGTGTGTGTGTGTGTGTGTGTGTGTGTGTGTGTGTGTGTGTGTGTGTGTGTGTGTTCAAAAAAATGTGATTGATACCCACATTACAAAGGATCGTGAATGCCACATTTCACCAACAGAATGTCTCTGTTGATGTCTCTCGCTTTGAAGGTGCAGATATGATATGGTTCAATCTTTTTCGGTCCGTGCGCATGAAACACACACCTTTTTAAAAAGCTATCAAGCATGACAGCCTATCATCTCCTTGTCTTCGCAGGAAATGCTCTGAACCTGACCTGCCGGGCGTTTTTCGGCTACAGCGGGGACGTCAGCACGCTCATCTACTGGATGAAGGGAGAGAAGTTTATAGAAGACTTGGACGAAGAGAGGATCCAGGAAAGCGACAGCAAGTAAGCTGGAATTGATTTCACATGACATGACGCTAACGAGGAATTAATAGCAGATGTAGAGACGTTCACTGGCAAATATTAAAACAGGATACCAATGGTTTTGCATGTTTTAGTCCATTAACTCCAAATTGCGTACACTAAACCAACCATTTTCCAGAGATTGATGTGCTGCCTACTAAGCACCCGCTGGCTTCCATTTGTTTAGCTGTTGTACAATCGTGCAGGTACTTAAAGCTTGTTTGAATTATTATTATTCCTTCATTTCTGACACTTTTTATTATATTTGTTTAAATGATTTTGTCGTGGAAATGCAATAGCAAGCAATTGAAAACAGGATAACTTATAATATGCCATATTGTGCTCAGTAACAATGGAACTGCTTACATCATGCACAAAGCAGGTTTATACATATTATTATACATCACAACATGCGTGTGAATGCGGAGGGAACACACATCCCTGACATGGGAAACTCATATTTCAGCAACAGAAGTAATACTATTTATTAAGTGCTGTTTAAAGTGCTTTTATCTCAAACATTTCCGTGACACAAAACAATGAATGGTTATCATTACAACATACTTCAGTATTGGTACCAAGGCTATTGTACTGCAGTTTAATATTGATTATGTGTCCCATGCCTCAATGCATTTACCAGCTATGCTGTCTAAATTCAAGCCACGAGACCAAAGAAAACCTGCTAACCTGTACATTGAGAAAAGAAAACCTTTCTTTTTTCTTTCATTATAAAGTGTATTGTTCTGCAGCTGACTCGATTCAGGGTCGTTTGAGCGTCCTTCTGGGCGAAAACAAAGAGACCAGTCCTTGTGTGCAGCTGCATCACAAGTTCTGACAGTAATATGACAATGCATGCAGGTGGTGAATTGTGTGTTATGATGGATTATTTAACGCACGCTAGTTTCAAGTCCCTGCTGAATGGTAGCGGATATAGTTCTTAGTCATTTGAAGTTATTGGCTTTATTTGATTTATTTTCTGTCATAGCTGATTGTGTGGCTCGATTTTCCCAAAAATTCATATTTTATTATCAATTTTTTAAAATGTTTTATATTGTATTCAATTGTTAGTTAAATCAATAATACATCTTATTAAATATTTAAAAACATAAACATTTAATAAAGAAAGTCATCAATATGACATTCAGTTAGACATTGTCTTGCCAGTTTTGAAGCTGCTTGTCTCCCAGTATTGCAGAGTTAACTTTCCACTAAAAAAGAGAAGGACATCTGGACTTGTTACAGTCAATCTGGGAAGTATCCATGTCAATTATATTGTATATTTCTCAAATTTAAGTTGAACCAATTGTCCAATAATTAATTTCCATGGCAAGATTGTTTAACTTAAAGCTGTTGTTATCCGCTGCAGAACAGGATGCACCCTCGCTTTTTTCTACTCACCACAATATTGTACAAGTCCAGCTTGTGTGCAGTGTTTTCTAACATTTTGAAAGGATTAATGCGCTAAATGTTAAGCTCGTCTTAAAAGAGCAGCTTCTCTAACGTGCCCTCTCTTGCTGTCTCCTTTAGATGTAACATTGTAAACTGTGCCCAGCAAGCCTCACTTTCACAGCCAAGACGTTTAAAACAAGCCCATTTCCATGTTTCTGCCTCCTAGTGGTGTAACACATTTAAACAAGTCCATTCCCCGGTCCATGTGCGTGTTTCCCATTAGGGCTGTTTGGAAAGGCTGCAGCTCTGGGGAGACAGCCCTGTCAGATGGTTAACAACCGCCATTTTTCACAGCGCCGCCACTGTCGCTATCTCCCTCGCTGCACCCACCTATAGCGGCATGCAGATGGGCCACAGGGAGTAGGAGGGGAGCGGAGGGAGAGCAGACGGGATAGAATTGGATATAGTAAGAAATATGGTTGAAGTCACTTAGGAGGAAAGTGAAGAAGACACATCTGTGATAGTGAGTTTGCTTATGCATTAATATAAGAATGCAACAGAAAGGAGTGCAGCTCTCCTGTCCTCTTGCCTCTGTCTGCCTCCATTACTACCTGACAACAGGATTCCCCCACTCACCAGCCGAGGGGTTATCTCTCAATAATTCATACCGATATTTCATGCAGCGGATCAATATTGTATTTGATCATCCGCTCTCTGTTGCTGATGCTGCCACCCTAAGCTTCTTCACATACAGCCGGTGCAATGGGGTTTTATTTCCACAAAGACAGCCAGACATATGGAGCAGGAACAGACAGGCGAGAAAGGGTAAGGAGAAACTAAGCATGAACAAATGTGTGCTACCCTGCAGTGTCTCTTTTAAATGCTACAGTAGGCATGAGACCTCTCTCCTTCACACACTTTTAGCTATATTACTAATGCATCAGCAGCCAAACTCAAGCTCACAGACGAGCATCCATACCTTGGGTTCAGAGTCTCTGCATGCATTTATTAACCCAACCCTGAGCATATTGATTCAGTGGAGTTCATCGCAATGGTAGCCCTAACCCATAAATTCTCATTTGTGCCACCGGGACAGGGCTATTGTTGTTATCATAGCACGGATGACTGGGCATTAGCATAGCATGCAGAGATGAATACATTAGCAAAACAAATCTGGCTCAGCAAAATAAAAAAAAGGGGGTGGTCAATATGTTATTGACCCGATTCAGTTGTTGTTTTGCAGGTGTGCGTTCAGTTTACTGTGCACAAGGATTAAATAAGTTGCAAAGACTGAGGTTCTGCTCATGAGGAAGGGAGAGAAAATATTGAGAAGAATAAAATGCCCGCAGCGGTTCGACTAACTCCATATCGATAAACTCAATCACCCTGAAGAAAGTATTTTGTTTTACAAAGAATTGCATGGATGGAACATCTCGCGGCGATACACAGCATCAGATTCCCTCTTCAGCCCAACTGTGTGTGTTATGCTCCCATATGTGTCTGTGCTTCACCTGGACCTAGTTATCCACCTCCTCTAACTTTAGCCCCTCGTTCTGAGGCTCAGGTGTGAACAGCCGTGGTCATTATCCATCAGGTTGTATGGCAGAGAGTTGCGTTGCCTCATCCAGTGGGATAATGTGAAACTGGAGGCTTCAAAGTACCCACCACTCCCTGGAGAGACATGAATTATTCCCGTGCCTACATCCCCCCGCCAACCAACCCCATTGCACAACAAACTCAGCTGAAACTACAAATATATCATCAGCCTCTCCACGCAAAGCCCAGGATACACTTTCAATTACTGATGCCAAATCTTCCCAACAAGCTGTCCGTATGTGCGGTTTATCGACTCGAAGGCGAGAGAAGCTTGAGAGTCATTAAACCCCTACACACTCAAACACACACTTTTCTCATCCCACTCCTGCTTCTAATCGCAGCCGTTATTAAAATGCCATAGATGATACCTGCACTCACACGAATACAAACAGTGGAGATCTTTTGTTTCCTCCAAAGTGTAATTTGTGCTGAGGGTGCTGCAGAAGTGGGCTAAGTAGTGCGTCTAAGGTATGAGGAAGCATTATCTCCCAATTCTCTCCTCCATCAGGCTCAACCAGCCCAACGGGGGGGGGGGGGGGGGGACACTCATTTACTTTATGGAATATTACTTTCTCTCCTTCTCGCCGTTACCATGGCAGCCGCTATAAAAAGATTTTCTTCTGATCGCCATTATTTGATTTCAACCCTCCCGCATTCTCCGTTGGAAGAGCCCTTATTGATTTTCATTTCTCATATGTTATGAGTGCAGAGAGAAGAAATGAACATACCTTGAAGTGCTTACTGTAAGGGGGGGGGGGTTCATGGAGATACAGAAATGTGCTGCTTATTGCCGTTTTATGGCTCGACCATCACGGCTGAATATGTTCTGTGATTGCTGCTCTGGTTCTCTACTCTTCAGGCCCCGTCACACACATACTGTTGAGATTTTCACACTCGCACTGATTATATGTTCTTGTATATTCAGAGAACATTGTCTCAACAGCCACTTCTCGTCTCCTGTTTCCCAACATAGTCCTTCAGAGAAGCGTTGCTGCCTTGTAAGTGTTGATGGTTTATCTTGCAGGGTTGTCAAGGAGCATCTTGGTGAGCAGGAAGTGTCCATATCCTTGACTATTGACTCATTGGAGGAGGAGGACCTGGGAAATTATTCCTGTTTTGTGGAGAATGGTAACGGCCGTCGCCAAGCTACCATACAGCTCTTCAGACGAGGTAAGGGCAGTGAGGAGCTTTAACCCCCTAACACCATATGTACACATTCATTTCCCTGTGAGTGGCTTAAAGGTTTAAAAACTCATCTTGTTCCTTCACTGTCTGACACTATCATAGATATTCTGTATCAGCTCGTTCCAACTCTTCATTAAAGCTTTATGATGAGTGAAGTATGCAAAGCCTGCCAGCAACATTTCATCAAAATGGGAATATTCTAGTCTTATGAATATATTTGTTCCACATATACCCAAATATCAGCCTGATATATTTGGTAGCTCTAGCATACCCACTAAGAAGCAGTTGAAACTGTATTAATCCCCAAGGGGAAATTCAACTTTTCACTTCTTTCACTTTCTAAAAAAACACATGCATAGGAAAACAGATATGCACAAACACATGCATTTAATGGAGGAGTGTCAGTGCATAGAGGCATGGTTTTCAACTGGCAACCCTTCAGTTCCTAAGCCAAGTCCCTACAGACTGATCTACTTATCTTACAAAAGACTGTGAACAAATGTTGGCTGATTAGCAGTTGCTGCTTAATTTGTCAAGGTTGGGGAAAAATAGGACCCAAATGCAGATTGATGAGGAAGCAGGTTTCAAAAGGAAACAAAAGGCGAGCTTTATTCAACAAAATCTGAACAAAAACAAGAATCCAAGAACAGGTACGAGGTAGCATCCAAACAAAGGTGACCAACACGAAGGGGGACATGAACGACAAATAATGGACCAACACTGAACACAGGAAGAGACAAGACTAAATACAGGGAGGGGTAATCACGAGACGAGAAACAGCCGGGCAGGGGAGGAGAAACACAAGGGCAACAGGTGAACACAATCAGACAACTAGACACACCATGGTTGCGTTCGGATAGTTTAAAAATCAGCTACTAAGTTCTAACCCTATCTCCTATTCCTTGACCTCTGAGTGAAACGTCACAGGGTTAAGGGATAGTGGATAGGAGAATTCAAAAGGATTTAGGAGACGAGACGCCGGTTACTTTAGAGAATCGCGACTGGCATCTTTCACTAAATCGAACGTTGTTTATGGTGCGCGCACGCCGGACGTCAATTTTGGGCGTCCNGACTTTTTACAGTGAAGCTTCAATAAAGAAATCATGTTGCTTTAACAGGTACAAGTTAAATATACTGAGCATATTAAAAGCCTAAAATGAACATAAAAAAGTCATGTTGGTTAAACATAGGGTAAATGAATATATATTAAAGGAAATATTCAAATGAACATAACAATTTCATGTTTCTTTGACATAACATATTTGTGTGTCTTTAACATAATGGAATAGTTTTGAGTACACATGTTTTTAATGTGTGCAACCCGTTTCCATATTAAAATCATGTTAATCCAACGGCCTTTTTTTTTCAGTGTACACAACATTTATTGCACAACTGTCAGTGGGAGAGCGATCCCTCCTCTGTTGCTCTCCCCAAGGTTTATTCCATATTCTGCCCATCATTTTGGTTGTTTCTATGTGGAGTTTTTCCCTTCTGCTGTGAGGGTCTAAGGACAGAACGTGTACAGTCTGCATATATCCCCCTTCTGAGACACATGTGAAATTTGCTAAATTTTGTAAATATAGTTTGAATTAAATGTGACTGTATATTATAAAGATAAATACAATCATAATCATTTCCCTTGATGTTGCTGGTGTTTACTTTTGGTGAGGATATGTATAGCCTGTCGTTTTGACAAATACATATCTTGACGTATCTATTTCCAATCCAATCCAACTTTATTTATAAAGCACTTTAAAACCAAAGTGCTGTACAGAGAGATACATACAATATAAAATCACACAGCTCAGCTCACAAAACATAAAAATAAGTATCATGTTATACTTATTTATCAAAAATAATCTATTTTGAATAAGTATTTCGATCTTTCTGTGTGTACAAACATATTTTGAGATTGAGAATAAAGTTGACTTTGACTTTGACTTTGAAGGAGCTATCTGGATACATTTTCCAATATAATATATAACTTTTTTTTTATATCACAAGTTCCCAAAAAATATTTGAAACAAACACTATAAGCCTACATTTTTTTATTTTAGGCTACTTGGTTAGTTTTTCCATTGATGTTGATGTTTTAACCATTGTGTCAGCACATATACATGGTTTAATAATTGAATTACATATTTATCTTTTTTACAAAATAGGTACTGTATAATTCGATGAGTTGTAGGCTATGTTTAATATCAGCATAATTTAGAGTAAAGTCGTTTTATTGTAAGTGTGAGCTTACTGAAATGGCTAAAACCTAAAATAAAGGAACATGTTGCACATAATATCGTTTTGCTTTTTGACTTGAATTATGTAACAGGAAACAGGTGACATTTTTGCTTAAAAGTTCAAAAAGAAACTAAGGTAATGTTGTTAGTTAACGAAAGCCTAAACTTAGCATAACATTGACAAGACATTTAGCTAACCCAATGTCTAATTTAAATCACATTCTGATGTAATATTTTGCAATATAAAATAAATATAAACCAATAAATGTTAACTAACGCTCCATGTGGAAGAAATGCCCGTGTTTTTTTTTCATATAGTGCACCAAAATTAAATACAGTAGGCTAATACAGTCAATCATCACATTCACCGATTTAGAACAACGTAATGTGCGCACTTGTGTTACTGTAACCACGTGACTGCTGGTATGAAACACACACCTTTGTTTCAGGACACCACAAAGAGCATTTCCACTTTCCAGCATCACATTCACGGCTGCATACCATCAATACCTCTGCTGCCTGAATGACTGGTGACAGCAGTCAGCAGGTGAACAGGTGACATGCTCGCTCACTTCCAGCGTTTTCATGGCTCGTTCTGCGCCTCTATGGCACGTTTGTCATTCGTGATCGCGGTTTATTGTGGACTGTTCAGGAATATAACGAGTGGGCCATTATTGTGAGTGTTTGAGAGGTTTATGGTGTGTCATTATCCCGCTACGGGGTCTTACTTGGATTTGGAAAGCGACTTTAAGCACAAGATCTCCTCAATCCAAGATTTGGAAGTGATTACTGCACGGTGGGATGGCGGAGGAAACCTTCAACGAATCATTTCCAGATCTGAAGGAAGTGGAAAATAAAGTTGGCAGGAAGACACCGGAAAGTCTTCTAATTTGGATGAGGGATGCTGCGGACGGCGAAAATGGATGGAGGTCTGATGTGGTGGACATGGGAGATCGCAGCTCCGATAGTTTTTCTGACAAAATAAGCAATTTAAAACAAGAGATGGTGAGTATTATCACCCTAAATATATAGATATAGGCACTACATTTTTCTACATCTGCTGTTTAGTGCACAACATGTTTCTGCCATAGCCTAGATACTTTATATTCTAATTACTTGTTTTTCTCTAGACTGAAGAAATGTCAAAGTCACAGGGTACCTTGTGCCGCTTCACCTGCTTCTTTCGATTCCTAATGACAGACTGAATCACCTGTCTCTCCACCACACCCCTCACCTGGCCTCTCTGTTTCTCTTCCACTCCAATCACTTCTGGATACGTCCTCTGGTCATACTCTGGAAGCCTTGCACATCATCTTTGTTCCTCCCTCATTTTCCTAAGGTTTTTTGCTCTTTCTTCTGCCTCATGTGTTGTGGCTATGGCAGCAGTGGCGGTTTTACGGGGTGGCACGGGGTGGCAGCTGCCAACTCAGAAAAATGCCTTGCCACCCCAGCTGCCACCCCAGTTGGCAGCTTTGTTTTGAAAGAAAAGTTGTGGCTCATCGGACATTTATGAGAGAAAATCTCTAATGTCCGAGTGCAAGTGAATGCAGCACAAGACGCGAGCCTTGTAACCCCCCTGGCGCGAGCTTGGAAATATGATTGGCGGCGATTTCATTTGAACGGGAGGACAGCGCAAAACGAGAAGCATTTCGGATACAAGTAGACAGAAGGAATGAGGTAT